ACATTGTTATGTTATGTGATACTGAGCATGCGCCAATAAAGATGTATTGATTAGCATACTGGAGTACTAGTGACCCCTTCCTTCGTACTTGTGGAGACACACACAGCTTACTAGCACACACAAGGGTGGCTTCATAGGACTCTGCAAGGAAAAGGAGCCATCCTAAAACAGGATATCAGGACCAGTGCTCATGGGACCAGCTGATTCTGCAGGAAGCTAAAACTCTTAAAAAGCAAGGAGCCTTATCCACTGTAAGTGAATTTATCAGCATTTGAAATGGCTTAGACATCTTTTGACTTTAATATTTTAAATCTGAGTTTTATATAATGTTTGCAATCAGCTTAACCAAGCTTCTGGCTGGGCAATGAACCAGAGCTGGAGGATCAGCTACATGATCTGGAGTTCTAGAACATCCCTCCTATGACTTGCAGGGTTATTCACAAAAGGGTGAAGAGATTGGAGAAGGCAGGAGAAGTGAACAACATAGCTGAACTGAAAAGTGAGCTGAATTTTGCCAAATCAGCTATTTTGTCCTAGATTGTTCACTTCTCCTGCCTTCTCCAAACTCTTCACCCTTTAGTGAATAACCCTGTTAGTGTGTATGGGAGAGTCTGCTGTGGGCTAGGGGGCTGGTTCATAAACCAGTGAACATCTTAGCCTTAAAGGCAAATTCCACCTTTTCCAAAAAAAATGAATAAATGTACCCAAATTGATTTAAAAAAAATAAAACATTTTTTTATTGGAGCCTGCAAAGCATTGCAACCACTATCAGTGAATTGTGGGGTCAATGCACAAGCTCCTCCAGGCTATTTGCCATACTGGTTACGGGGATGGAAGAAATTTTCAATGGACTATAAGTACAGAGACATCAAAATAGTTCTGTTTCTTTGCGTGGCAGATAGAACTTGAAGCCACTTCCTGTCTACATGAACTCCAGCGATGGCTGCATGCTATTTCTCAAAATGGGTTTCCTGATGGTGACAATAGAGGACCATGCCTGTGTAGCGTGGGCTGAAAAGGTCACTGGTAGTCTCCATCAAAAGCCAGTGTAACAGGGTGACAACACTGCAGAGCAGAATTGGGAAAGGGTGCTGCCATCCTATAACAGGAAGTGCCGACACAACATCCATCATGGGCCACCAGAAAATATTTAAATAAAGCAACATATATAAAAAATATTTTAGCAGTAGTAGAGTATTGTACTGTTACCCATCATTTAGTGCAGGAAATTTGGCATTAATGTAATAACTTCTGTTATCCAATAAAAGGTATTAAAGATGCAAGCTTTTTGGGATTCATTGATCTCTTCATCAGGTGTTATAAAGCCTGATGAAGGCATTAACCGCCTCCCGGCCACCCTTTCTAAAAAAAACGGCCGGCCGGGAGCTTCTTAGATCTGAGCCGGCGTATTTAAACATCCCGTCAGCTACGCCCACTCGCGCGAGCGGGAACCTGCCAAAATTTTAAAATTGGGAGTAATGCCTGTTTACATACAAGCGATCTATCGGCTATAAGGTGCCAGTGTGTGCGCCCCCCCTCCCGCTGGTCCCGGGCTCCGCTGTGCCCGGTGCAAACTCAGGACCAGCATGGTGGCTCCGTGACAGGGGATCAGAGGGAGATCGGTACACAATCTCCCTCTGGACCCCTCTCCGGTGTCAGAATGCGGAAGTGATGCATATGACATCACTTCCGTATTCCTGTGTCACTCTCCAGCTTCAGAAGATCACTGCTTCATCAGATTGTTTGGGGGTCCCTAGGTGACATTAGGGATCCTAGAGACCCCTGATGTCTCCAAAAGAGGACCTGTCACATCTCTTTGCTATCACATAGGGGGTTTCTTATCCTCCTATGTGATAACAATAAAGTTAAGCGAAAAAAAAATAGGAAAAAAAAATAAAGTTGCAAAAAAAAAATTGTAAAGTCACATATGAAAAAGAATACAAAAAAACAAAAAAAAAATTAAAACCCCCACCCATACATACACGCATGCAAACGTGTGAAAACAACGATTGCGCCCATTACGCCGCACATGTTACATATCGACATGAACGTCGCAGTGAGAGCAATAATTCTAGGTTCTAGGTTAAGGAATCTCGAAAACTTGCATCTTTGAAAACCAGTTAAAAAATACATGAACATCATGATAAATCCTATGAGTTTTTTTATGATCTGGTTTTCCGATTTTGAGGAACTAAACACTATTTGTATCTAAAACAGCCATATATACTACTCTTTACCTGAAGAAAAAAGTATTATTAGGAGAGTAAAAGGCGTTTAAGTTTGCTCTTTAAAAGGCCACAGTGTTCATGCGTGAGTTATTATTTTGAATAAAAACAGGACAGCAAAAAACGTACTGTACATTGGCAAAAATGTTGGCTCTCTTTATTTCTTCGGTTCCTCATTTCAGAATAATATCCTGCTTTTTAATTAGACTGGCTTTCTTCCTTGCATCCTGTAATGACATATTGAAGGAAGCAGCTAATCCTTGTAATGGCTATGCTTTTAAAAGATGCAGTTTGTTGCTCTTACTCTGGTTTCCAAAAAATCAGGACTATAACGAGCTGTCTTATTTCTTAAAAGCAAAGTGGACAAACTTCAGTAGGAAGCGGTGGTAGGAAAAAAAAAATTAGACATGACCATAGCTAATCTGAGAGTGGCCTGAATAGGAAGAGTTTAGAATGGGGCTACCATGTATGAAACAGAAGAGATGTGTAGTACAAAGTAAAGCTAGTCATACAGGTGAAACTCGAATAATTAGAATATCGTGCAAAAGTAATTGCAGTAAGTGCTGCAAAGGGGCCCAAACCAAGTACTGAGTACATATGCATGCTTGTACTTTTCAGAGGTCCGATATTGTTCTATGTACAATCCTTGTTTTATTGATTGCATGTAATAATCTACTTTTTTGAGGTTGTGGATTTGGGGTTCTTGGGGTTTTCATGAGCTGTAAGCCATAATCATCACAATTATGACAAATCACGGCTTGAATTATCTTGCTTTGCATGTAATGAGTCTATCTCATATATTAGTTTCACCTTTTAAGTTGCATTAGTGAAATAAATGAACTTTGCACGATATTCTAATTATTCGAGTTTCACCTGTACATGTAGACTGGAGAAAACCACTTGATTTCCCTATCCACGCTGTGGATGGAGGAATCTCCCATGCAGCTATTGGCAGTCAGAACACCCAAACAGTGACTGCAGCTAAATGGATGCTACATTTTGGCCAAACATTTTCCACCCTGCTCCTTTGATTTTTCAGTAGAAGTTGGTGGTGTTGGTAGGGCCGTCTATAGTTAGAATGTCGACAGATTCCTGCATATTTCTGACATTGTATGGCCAGATTAAAGTGACACTAAACTCAGGAGTTAAACCTTAAAAATTGATTCAAGTACCCTATTAATGAAAATGTTAACATTGAAAACAAAAACTTTATTTGTCTATCACTCAGCTGTAGATCATCAAATCATCTCTGAATTGGTGCTGACACTGTCCTTCCTTCTGGAGGGGGGCTATTTTTGTTGCCCATGGTCCCTGTGTGTGATGTAAAGTATCCACCGCACCAAGCTCGCTCCCGGGATGGACTAGAATCTCAATACAAATTGGTAAACTAAACGTAACATTGTAGTCCATCAAAGGAGTGAGCTTGTGACTACTTTAAAATGCATTCAGGTACCTTAACTAATAACAAAAAATGTATCTTATTTGTGTATCACTCGGCTGTAGATCCTCAAATCATCTCTGAATTGGTGCTGACACTGTCCTTCCTTCTGGAGGGTGGCTACTTTTGTTCCTCATGATCCCGGTGTGTGTTGCAAAGTGGCCACCGCTCCAAGCTCACTCAATCCATCTTAACCCGCCTCCCGGCTTCCTGATTGGCCGAGAAGCTGGGTCCATGCTGATTGGCTGGGAAGCCTATTTTGTGGCTAATCAGCATCGAGCTGACTAAACAGCATGGACTCGGCTTCTCAGGCAATCAAGAAGCTGGGTGGCGGCTAATGACATGCCACCTGGCTTCCTGATTGCCCGGGAAGCCAGCTCTATGCTAGCAGAAGTACCGGTATCAGCGAGTACCAAAAGATAAATATCGGTACTTGTACTCGATACCGAAAAAACGGTATAGGTGCCTCCCTAAAATACACACACACTAATACACCACCACCCCTACAAATAAATGCATACACACATTCTTATAATAAAATAAAGACCAATTTCCTAGTGATTTAGTACAGTACATTAGTCTGCACCTTTGGCTGGTGCAGAATGTACTAATCCTTCCTATTGGCCGGTGCTCAGTGAAGACTGTCAGAGCACACAATGAGTGCCAGCACCACCAGAAGCAGCTATGCTGTTTGCATTTGACAGATATGGAGACTGTGTAGCTGCTCCCCCAAAGTTAGGTACGTGGTCCACGACTGCGTACCTGACTTGTCAGCTGGCTGCAGGAATCATGGTACCAGTTTGCAGCCAGAATTGGCCCACGGGCTGGTACTTTGAGACCCCTGATCTAAGCAATGAGGATAGGGGGACCGATCAGTCATGACAAAAGGAATGAGGACAGAGGGGTGAAGGAGGTAACAATCAGTAATAATTTTGGCAATGAGGACGGGGGAGCAATCAGACATAATATAGGAGATGAGAATGGGGAGAGGGGAACACCAGAAGATCAATAACACACCACACTCCTCTCACTGTTCTCCTATCACATGAAGCCACTTTGTGCTCGGCTGTGTTCAGCCCATCACCCCACAGACAGCCCCACATTCCCTCCATGACCTGAGCTGCAGGTATGATGATGATGCACAGTGCCTCCCATGCACACACCACCATATGTCCTGCTGGAACAGGCTGTGACAGCTCTGACATTATTACATAAACAAATTACATCATCATACAGAGAAATGTCACCTTTACCTGCTTTCACGGTGCTGCCTCTGGGAAGTATGCTATTTAACTTTCTCGCAATAGAGAGTGCAGCCGATCCTGCAGGCAGGGCACCTAGAACTTGTGAAGGGCTCACAGAACTGAGCATAGCATGAGGTGCACGGAGATGGAGAGGGCAGAGAAACCGCATTGCTGATGCAGCCTCACTACCCCTGCTGGTCCCACTGACACTTATACGGCCCCATTCCCTACTGGTGCAGTGGTTGATTAGTTTGGTCTGCACCTTTAGCTGGTGCAGACCTTACTAACCCTTCCTTTCGCCCATAGCTCAATGAAGTCTGTCAGAGCTCTGGCCGAAAAGGAACCACTGACAGGAGCAGCTATGCGGTCTGCATCTGATAGAAATGCAGACCGCGTAGACCTTCCCACAAATTAAGCTACGTGATTGCGTGCCTGACCTGTCAGCCGGCTGCGGGCCGCATGGTACCGGTTCAGGGGCCACAATTGGTCTGCGGGCTGGTACTTTATGACCCCTGTAACAGTCCATGTAATCAACTAAAACAAAACTGCAGCACGGCTCTGTGCTGTCAGCATATAGCAGGCAGTAGCCCACTATATGCTGAGTTTTGGGTTACAGGGGAACATTAATAAATGTCCTCCTGTGACCCTAAAGAGAAGTATGGCAAAAAAAGGTTGGGCCATAGTTCTCTTTTAATCCTTGCAGTGCAGGGAAATCCCCACTGCAAGTGTAGATTTTTTTTTCACATGGAGATAGACTTTAATCAATACCAAAAGAAACTAAATTAAAACACAGGTGAATGTGCTATTTGTTAATCTCACCTAAGCAGCAATTGCTCTTATTGTATGTCAGCAAATTAATGCACTTCTAATTTGACTGTACGCATCTTCAAGTACACTTGTGTGTATAATTATTTAATATATACTGTTCCTGAGAATAGTTTAATATTTTATGACAACATACTGTGCAACAAAACTTAACATTACTTTCAGAAGACGGATAATGCTAATGAAAATTATTAAGATGCAGTCCATGGACAGATAATTAGCCATTCATGGAATTACATCCATTGGTCTTATGCAAGAGGAGTCAATGGAACTCTTCAAATTAATAGAGACTTTCAGAAGACTCCCAGAGGTATAGTCATTAGAGTGTTGTATATTTAACTTTAGAAATTACAGTAAACTTTACACAGCGCCAAACAAAAGAAGCAGCCAAAGAGCTAAGTGACTTAATGAACAAACAAGCACTGCGGTATAGAAAGCACAGAATAGTGAAATGAAGCATAGCCATTATTAGAAGCATTAAAATAAGAAACAGTTGTAGCTAAACTTCAGCTAAATGTACAGCTGCAATATATATATCTGGACTGTCTTACCCAACAAAAGATTTTGTTCAGCCGGCCTTGTGATCCAGCCACTGCCCCACCGTTCTCCCATGACCTCACATTTTCTCCATTGAAGATAAGCAGTAATGCTTGATCAAAGAACCAAACTCAGCCTGATGATTAATTAGTAAAGGAGTAACAGCACAGTGACGTGTTCTCCCCTCATGTAAGCATGTTGATAATATTAGATTGAGCCCTGATTTTTAACCTCTGATGTGCAAAGGGATAGGCCGGAAAGCTAATATAAAGGCATACTCAGTTACTAGTTGTACCAGAAATAAACATTTTTACTGCATACATAACTGAATTAAATGCCTTTGATAAAGTTGTCTGGAGCTTTTCCATGAGGGCTGGTGCAGACCTGGGCGATCCCGGGACGTGCAATCATGTGCCCTTGGACACAGCGGTTGGCGCACGGCCCCATTGATTTCAATGGGGTTATATTTGTGCTGCAATCACTGAAAAAAGGTACATGTATCCTTTTTTTGCTACAAGCATCGTGTCCGATTGTACGGGCGGAATCGCTGCAGGAAACCGCGCGATCCGCCATGTGCAACTGGGGTGCCATTAGAAAAGAATGGCACCACCAGCGCGATGAGCGGTGGTGTGCGACTCCCTGACCGCATGGCAATCCGTGCATGATTGCCATTCAGTTACGGATCGCGCAAGTGTGAACCTGGCCTAAAGCCTAAGGCTGGGTTCACACCTGAGCGTTTTTTTATGCTCGTTTTTTTCGTTCAGTGAAATGCGTGTTTCACTGGCGGTATGATTTATTTTATTTTTTTTCCTTTATTTTCTCTATTTAAAAAAAAAATAATAATTTTGTTTCACTTTTAAACTTCCTGCCAACTCCGCCCTCCTGCGACGCGACCACTCGTAAGGGACGGAACCCGGAAGTCGGCAGCCGCCGAAGACACAGCGGGGATCGCGGACAAGGTAAGACCTGTACGCTGTATTCCCGAGTGTGGCTCGAGGTTACCGCTTTGTTAACCCCGATCCACACTCGGGAATACCAATGGCAACGCGCCAAAGAAGCTCCTGTACTTCTTTGGGCATAGGGCGTTTTGCAGCGCGTTCCTACGCGCTGTAAAACGCCCGGGTGGGAACCATGCCCATAAGCAATTATCGGTTTTCACATGTTGAGCGTTTTACAGCGTGTAGGAATGCGCTGTAAAACGCCCAGGTGTAAACCAGGCCTAACTCTTGGTTCAATGTGAGTGACAGTTGAATGTTATTACACTTGCACGTTGTGCCCCAGATCTAAAGATGGCATGCAAAGTTTGGGCCCTGCCATGCTTAGGCTATGTGCATTCTGTTCTGCAGCCAGCCAGAATACGTTGTCAGAACTCTTGCTGTCCTGGATAGAGCAGTAATCATAGAGTGGAAGTGTCCAAGAACTTGATCTTTGTATTGGGGCATGGAGGTTAAAGTGACACTATTTCTTTGCGCATTCAGGGCAATATGGCGTTATTTCTGTATATTCACCTCCATGACCCACTGAAACTTACCTCTCTCTAGTGCAACTTTTCCTCCATTGCAGCTGCCACTAAAGCACCAGCGGGTGTTAGAGCCTAGAGGTAATAGTGAAATCACCTTCCACATCATGTGACACTGCTCAGCCTAGCAACTGACTGCTAGACCTGAGCAGTGCATCATGGGAGGAGGTCCCATGCTGCCCAATGCCTGGAAGTAAAACAAACAAAAAACAGGTCTGTCTATAAATAAACTTTACAGGTGCCCAAGTTTAATTAGTCTCTCTTTGACACTAATATCCTCCAAAATGGCTTACTCATTTTGCTGCGTTCCTCAGCACTCTTTCCAGTTCCAGAATGTGACACATACAGTATATGAAAAAACACAATCAATAGAAACCTGTTAAAAAAATCCAGCCATCAATATTCAAATAAAAAAACAATTCTATGCTAGGGTAATACTAAAATGCACATTGCAGCTTACCTAGTAGTAGTAGTAGTAGTAGTAGTAGTAGTAGTAGCAGGAGCAATATTTGCAACTTGCTGGTGTGACTGTGCATAAGGCATCTGTGATTCCTTAGCCACACCCTGGCTATCTACTGGTATGTCTGGAGAAGTCTGACTGATTTTAAGGTTGACTTCTGGGTAGGAGTCCATATCTAAATAAGAGCGTTCAGGCATCTCAACTCCAAGCTCGACTCTATCCACCAACAAGTCCCCATAGTGAGAGTGGTGAAGATGCCCATGGTGTCCATGATCTTTGCGTTGAGTCTGGGAAGAACCTTTGTCCCTCCATGGAATCCAACATAATTTCCAGGAGACAAAGAGCAAAACTCCAAGGAGAACAATTCCACAGAAGGTGACAATTACAGAGAGCAGGCTAACCGAGACATCTGCAAGAGAAACAATGGATGTTAGACTTCAAAAAGTAACAGTTTGTTAATAGAATGTGTGTGTGCCATGGGAAGATAACTATTACTACATGTTAGGAAGGAGATCTGAACTCAGAAGAATACAGGGGCTGCCAATGCTGACCACTCCTTCTGGAATACTAGTTTTCTGGATCTCATGCAGGCAATGACTTCAATATTTAGATCTCCTGACCTGAGCAAGATTCTGAGTTTGTGCCTCAAGAGTGACGCATGAGTTCTGACTTTTTTTCTGACATTAGTTTCTTAATCCTTACTCTGGATCAGTAACTAAGAAAGCATTAAGCCATAAACAGCCAGTGAACTAGCATTTTTACAAGATCAAAAGTGTTGAGAGTTTCACACATCGATTGAACCTATATAATTTGACAAATCTTACGTGTAATAGTCTAACAAAGGTTTTACTTTTGACAACCCCATTTTATGTTACAAACACATGTTTTAATTTAGTAAATTACAAGCACTTGCAAAGTCATTTAGGCTGTTGTGTTCAGATGTGGATAAATGCTGCATCTGGTCTTATGAGTGGTGTGACATAAGGAAAGGGGAAGTCATCGAGGGGCGATATATTTGTCCTCGCTTTCTATCCTATGTACAGGACTAGTGGAACCCAGACCAGGTATTTTCGGGTTGACTTTGGGTCTGAATAATCCAGCTCGGATATTGTGTCTCTCACCTGGATTGTTAATTGTTTAATGAGTGATTATCCAGGTGAGATAAAAGGGGAAGGCTGAAGCATAATGTTGCTCTGGTCTGGGACTCGGACAACATTCTGAGAGAGCTACAAGTTGGATGTGTGTAAGAGTAAAAGGTTGCTGAAAGTATTTTTGTTTTGTGAGGTGGCTGAGATAAGCTCACCACTTGGTGGAGCGGAAACCTGCCTGTGTAGTCAGAGCCTGGAGGGCAAGGATTTTTTTTCTGTTTTATTTTGTTTTATTGCAACCTTTTTAATAAAAACTGACTGCTAGTCAGATTGAAAGAGAGCTTTTGCTGTCTGGACTACCTTTTTCCCAGGGAAGGTGATCCCCATTTGAGCTATACCACCACAGTGGATACATGTGAACTGCGGTGGTGCTGGCCATCGATTTGCATAGGGTAAAGTGCAAGCTCTCATGAGCAGGGCCCTCCTAACTATCTTGTCAGGTATTGTAACTGTAGTGCCTTGCTTTATATTATAAAGCTCTGTGCAAACTGATGGCACTATATACATCCTGTATAAGAGTAATAATAGCATACAAATTTAGCCGTGTAGCTTCTGGCCGTGGTTGTTTGCACACAACGTATGCATTGGGCCGAAGCTAATGGCCTATAAAAATTAACCCTTAAAACCACCTTTATTTCTGTAAATGGTAGTGGTGTTGAAAATTCTCTTCCAGACAGGAATTCATTTTTAAACTAAAAAGCAAATGCAAAACACACCAGACCGATTAAAAAAAAAACATATCAGGCTTAATCTGGCTCTACCCGGAGAGGCAAAGGATTGTTGCCATCATAATAAATTAGACATGCAGGGATGTGATGAGCCTATTAAAATGTGACATAAAATGCGCAATACAAATTTATTTATATGCTTATGAAATGATCTTCTGCACAATCCGCTGCACCGACCTTGTTTTTTTTTGTTTGTTGTACATATCTCGCTACATAAAGCTTTCAAAGGCTGGCGTCTGAAGAGCGTGCTGCATTGAAACCAGGCAAGCGTGTTTTGGTTTATACATAGCCACTTTCTATATTTATTAACATGTAGCAATTCAAACTCTTTGCACAGCAGGCCCATCAAAATTAATAGTGATATACATTTTGGTGTTTTTTCAGCCCATCTGCACAATGAAAAATCTCAATTTAGTTTCTCTCATGTTCTGCATAACACATGAACTAAATATCTGTTTTTAAAATGCACAAAAATTCAAATAAACATGCTTTAAATGCACAAAAACATATAAAGTAACGTGCATTAAATATGTAGGTATTAAAGAGCCCTAAATGATATGCACACGTACAGCAGAAGTCTAAAGCTGGCCATACACTGGTAGAGTTTGTACATACATTTATACAAATATCTTATAAGAATATCATAAAATCAGAGACTTGATGAATATTGTTCGAAATTTCCCTTGATTTTAACATTAATTTATGGAAATAAATGGAGTTTCTCAAACAAACAAAATTCTAACCGCAACTGTGGTTTTTCATTTGAGAAACTTCATGAAAAAAATTTCCATCCTGCTCCTTTGATTACTTATTACTACTACCGTCGAAATTGATCATGAATTTGACCCTTATTAGCTATTAGAAAATGAAACAAACGTTCCAAAAACACATTTTATGATAGAAATTCACAATAGAAGTTGAGTACGCCCCATGATAGAAGGTGAGTACGCCCCATGAGTGGGGTGTGACATGATCATGCTGCGATGTGTGGCAACCAATGGGTGTTTCTGGCTTATCAGTCAATCACTGGTGGTTTTATGGCCAGTGGTGCATGCTGGGGAAGTACATATATACTCAGGGGAATTGCCATGGGCTCAGCCCTGTCCTAGTCTAGACCCAGTGCTGGTTTAGCCTGGTGGTGAGCCCAGGCTAAAGCATGAAGCATGAAGCATTTCCTGCACTTGAGCAGTGCAGGAAATGCTTCATGAGGCCTCAAGTCTGGAGGAGGCCTAACACTGATTGAAGAGGAGAACCAGGGAAGCTAATGGCTGCTGGAGGTGCTGGTACTAGAATGGACCTCAGGAGCAAGTCTGGTGTCTCTCCTACTGAAGATCTCATACCTAGCCCTCTTCAGCTGTTGCTCAAATACCCAGTGTTAGCGTGTGCTCCTATTAAACCTGCACTGTGGAATACTGAAAGGGACTGGTGAGTCTGGAATTCTGCGCTATTCTATTTTTGCCATGGATGTCCTAAGCCCTATGCCCTCTCCCCAAATAATGAAGTTCTGCAATACAATTCTATCAGAGTTTTATAACTACAGTCTGGATCTCGCTTTATCAGTTGCCACAGAGAGTGGTAAGTGCTATAAGGGCAGCCAGATTGCTAAAGTTCCTTAGACAGGCTATGGAAGACCCGTTCATCCAGCGAATCCTTCGGGGGGAGCACTATAATACTTTTTCTTAATTTGCACAGTTAGCCCCCATTTGCCCACTAGCGCTTTTTTGGCACATGCACACATTAAGTTTATTGGGCTGCCGTACTTGCGACAATGGTGCCAAAGAAGTACATAAACCTTTTTTTTAAATCGCATTGCATAAACCATTTGGGGCACGTGTCTGTGTGTGTGTGTGTATGCTTAGGGTGCTATTAAAATGAATGGCTGTGAAGCGCAATTCCGCTAAAGGCACACTTTTTTTGCACAATGCGGCAACGTGCGTAAAATTCCACTATTTTCTGCATGCTGTCACAACGTTCAGGTGTGACTGGGGGCTTAATTTTTCAGGACAGTGAACACACACACATACTATACAAGTTTCACCTTGTTCGATGCAGTCAGTTGGCTGTGAGCTACGGTTGAAAGAAGGGGGGGTTTTAAAGTGTACCGTAAATAATTGATCACCAGCAACGCATTAACATGAAATTTTATTCTAAACTGCAAAACAGTGCTAAAGAAACACACGCAAAGTTAGGCCCATGACTGCTATATATATAATAAAGGGAGGTGAGATCAAACTCTTACCTGATTGGCTGGGAAAATGGAGTTGGGAGGTGGAGTCGTGTGTGCATCCCTAAAGGAAGAAATTTCTGGATTCAGACAGAGACAGCAGCGTTGAAGCAGCGTCACTCCATCCTGCCCTGATTTTTGCTAAATTTGGTTGTTATATTGTTTCTTTGCTAATTCAATGCCTTTATACTGTCACTGCAGCCGAGCAGGGTCTGAGGGTCTTTGAAGGACAGCATCTGCAGTTAACATTTAACTGAGATTGGGGAGCTGTCTCAGGTAGGGCATTCCCAGGATAACTGGTAGGTTGAATATTCTGTTAATATCTGCAATTGTGATGTTATGTCCCCGAGGTGGTGTGGTGTGGCTGGGGGCCTACTATGCAGATACTGGTTGTTTTGTAATAAGGTGACCTTCAAGGACCTTTAAACCCAGTTAACAGTTATGTTGTTAAGAACATTGTTTGGCTTTGTATTAATAAAATGGCTGCGGTGGCCATAAAATCCAGCCCCTGGTGTGGTGTCACTTAAATAACGGAGGGTATATTGGAGTTGTGGAGGGTGGATACCCTAGTCATGTTAAAATTAGTTCATGGTGATGGTGCAGTGAATATGAAGATGGTTTACAAGTGGTTTGAGTGATTTTGTAATGGTTGTGAATCGGTTGAAGACGTGGAGCGGTCGGGACATCCTTCAACATTAAAAACCCAAGAGAAAGTTGAAAGAGCAAGCAAAATGATTCAATCAAACAGGCGATTGACTAATGATGAAACAAAATGATGTGCGTAGAGAACGGCCTGAGAAAAGGGAAATGGTATCATCCTAAATCATGACAACGCTTCGTGTCATACACCACTTCTGGTACGGCAATTTCTGTCAAATAAAAAAAAATGATGGTGTGTCCTCAGCCACCTTATTCACCGGATCTTGAACTGTGCGACTTCTGGCTCTTCCCCAAAGTCAAAATGACCATGAAAGGTAAACATTTTCAATCGATTCAGGACATCGAGGAAGCCACAACAGCGCAACTTAGGAAACGCACGAAAGAGGACTTCCAGAAAGTGGCAAGATCTATGGGATAAGTGTGTTCGAAGCGAGGGGGAGTATTTTGAGGAGGATTAATGGCATTGTGTCTTTCACTGTAATTATGTTTTGTATTTACAGATTCGCCGTATTTTATTATCACACTATAAATATATATGTATATTTATGTGACTGCTGCATCAGCTTACACTATATGTAAATAATAAAGGTATAAATATAAATGTAGAAAGGTGGAATATATATATTTTTTTACCTAGTAAATATGAACA